GGTGGGAGGTCTGTAATAGACTTCCACCATTGTGTTGCCTGTGCCCTGTTCCCCAAGTATTTTAACCCAGAGGGTCTCCAGTCATCCACCCTGGTCATCAATGTCAGCTTGTAGGGACGTATAGCTCTCCTTGACATCGAGTGGACAAAAGGGGCAAGGGTGTAGATCTCTAGCTGTTTATACCCATGGTCCAGTCATGGGTGGAGTCCCACCAGGTCTCTGTTATCCCTATGACATCATAATTATTTGTGTTAAGCAGGAGGACAAGTTCCTTCTGTTTATTCCCCAAGCTCCTGACATTTGTGTACAGGCAGGCAAGAGTCAACTTCAATGCATTTTTAATCATTGCACCAGCATACCATTGTACACAATGTAAACTCCAGTGAATCTTGGCTGCTTGTAATATCCATCATAAGTTATAGTATATAGAAGTTAAATATGTGCACCAAATGGTACCAACCAGCACAGTGGCTTAGATTACTGATATGCAATCTGAGTTACTAGGGGAAAAAATCATGTCTCACTTTTATTTTCAGGTCTTCTTTTACTTCCAATATTTTCCTGTTTGAGGTATATGCAATCAGATAAGTTTGGCATGAGATACAGTGGAGAGGAATTTTGAACAAATCATATTCAGCATAGGATTCTGAATCAATAATACTTATCAGTTGTGCAGTTTCTTTAAATAGTTGACTGCTAAACATGGGGTTACTATGAATCCGTTTGTCTGCATCTGAGGCCCCCTCTACACAATAAAGGTATTGCACAATTTACTGGTTAATTGCACAGTTACCTTGAGACCAGCTACAAATGCAAAGTAGATATCATACCATAAAAAGCTCCAACCAGCTATAAAGTTAAAACTCAAAAATGTGTATATTACCTTTATAGCTGGTTACTATCAAGCTTTAATTTGCACATGTAGGAGGGTCTCCCCTGTGGCTGAGAGCCCTGTCAGCTGACAGGACTCTGAGCTGCAGGAGTACACCATGACTAGTCTGGGCTGGAAATCACACAACTGGAGGGACTAGCAGCTGTCAACTAGATCCTGACAGCACCCTTCAGCTACCAGGACCCAGAGTCCTCCCAGAGTCCTGCAGCTGCAGACATTAGGTTTCCACAGCATGCCTTTTGATGCCAGGGTCCAGCTGAGTCTTGGTAGCCACAGGGTGTGGATGAGATCTCCCAGCCCCAGGAGTGCATGGAACCCCCCAGGGCTATGAGACACAGCTGCCTCAATCTTCTAGCTGCGAGGATTTCATGGATCACCAAGGCTGGAAGATTACAACTCAGTCCTAGATGTGCATTGGGCACCCAAGTAGCTGGGAGCCCCTCAGCCAAGGGGGCTTCTTGCCAGTGCAGGGGGAGCCCAGGATCAGTGCAGTATGCATGGCATGGCAGGAGGTATGATTGTGTGTATTGTATATTAGATCCCATTGAGCCTTTACATGCACGTGTAGAAAGGGTCTAATTAAATTCTTTGTTTCAGAAACTGCATCTGTTTTTTATGTTTGTAAAGCATCAAGCAGCTTGAAAGCATTTTTTTTTTTAGTAACATTTCTCACCAGTATTGACAGGGTATAGACATGGTGGATGATTTAGTGTGTAGTAAATTGAGTTTTCTGTATAATGAAAACGGAGCAGACATACAATGTATAGCCCTATTATATACCAAATTGCTCAAATCCAAGGTAAAGTTACCCCCTTGAAAACTGTATAGTACTTTTATTATATGGGAAAGTCACTATGTGGATTATGTTGTGTGTACACTCCCTAGTCAATTTAATCCCAGGGGGTATGTCTATACGTGAACCCTTAAAGTGACATAAAGTGATTTACATCACATTAGTCACCATATTTAAGATACATTAAGAATTCTGCTTGGCTCAGCCCGGGGAGGCTGGGTGCAGTGCAGGCAGGTCAGGCAGGCAACACAGGGAAAGCCACGCCAGGCACTGGAACCAGACACGGTCCCAGCCTGCCTGGGGTGAGCTGAACAGAGACCCCGGGCACTGATACCACCTCTTCCATGGGCAGTATCCTGCCAGCAGGTAAGCTGCGTGTTTGCCTGGGGCAGAGGTGGCTGCAGAAGAGAAAGCAGCTCTGGATGCTGGGGTCAGATACAAGTCACAGTCTCCCTACTGTACCAGGCAGGAGCCCCATTGCAGGCTTCTGAGGGTTCCTGAATCCCAGGCAGGCAGTGAGGCATCCTGCCCCTGCAGGGCTACATTTCCCAGCCAGCAAACCTACCCTGAGGCAGAGGCACTATGGAGCTGCTAGTGGATGCAATACTCACTGCCACCTTTTTCTTCCTGGCAGCACCAGACATCAGAGCGCAGCCCAGGGAGCTGGGGTCTGGCTGTCCAGGGTGCTGACCAGGGCACGTTGTAAGGGCGTATGCCCAGTGAGTCACATTAAAGTGCCTTAAGTTTAGGGGTGTGTAAATTCACATGTAGACACACCCAGGGTAGCTGTTTCTTCAGTGCAAACTAGCTTCCTCCACTACCTAGTGGGTAGCCAACTCAGGAGAGCTGGTCAGGTGTCCACTTTTTAATATAGATTAAAAGACTGAATAAATTACTTAATAGTAATTTTGCTGTGTGGCCACACTTTTAAATAGAGTTGGGCTCCTTTGAAACTGTTATTAACATGCTGTTAAATTTTACAACTTTGTTCTCAGATATGAAAGATGAAGCCAAGGCAAGTAGTGAACCAAAAGCAGCTGAAGCCAAGGAAGGAAAACTGAAGGAAAATGAATCCAAGGAATGTGTGGCCAAGGCAGAAGAGGCCAAGCAACCTACTCTGGAACTCCTGGTTAGACAGAGTTATCCCCTACGTATGAAGTATTCCCATCAGTACAAATCAATGAAAAAAACAATAGAACAAGAGATGTCTAGGGTCATCACCAGCCAAGGCACTGTCATAAAGTACATGTTGGATGGATCTACCCAGGTACAGTAATAGAGTTAGAATAGAAGTGGGTTACCTGAGCAATGCAAGTAGATGTGGAATATTGTTTCTGTCTGTAGCTAGTGTTCATGAATAGGGAAAAAATGATTTCACATGTTTTTGGGAAAGTGACCAACTAAAAGTGTTTTTAATTGTAGCTGTGTTGATCAAGGACATAGGCACATTTTGTTGGTCTAATAAAAGATTTCACATCTAAAAGTGTGGTCCTTTGGGAAAGACTTGACAGAGCTGGCCAGAGCTCTGCTATCTAAGACCATGATGTCATTCCTAGAGTATGGCTTTTAATACTTGTGCAGTAATATTAATACAGCACTGATTTCCTGTCCAGTTTACCCTGCATTGTCCAATTATTAGAGCAGGGGTGGGCAAAATATGGTCTGCAGGCTAGATCCAGCCCATGAAGGGACTTTGTCTAGCCTGCAGCTGGTCCCTCAGTCTTACTTGGCCCAGGCACCATCTGGCCTATGGTGCATCCTGCTGCCCTCTGAAAATGCAGTGGGACTGTAGCTGGACTGCTTTTCTTGGCAGTCCAGGTGGCAGCAACTTCTTCCAGCTGCTGCCACTACTGTCTCCAGCACTGTGGTACTGGTGAGGACCCACACACACAGCCCCAACCCTGGTCCACCTTGTGCCTGCTCTGGACTTGGCCTGGCAGAGTGAACCAGCTCCAAACCAGCTGGAACCCGCACTCACAGCCCCAATCCCAGCCTGCCCAGCACCTGTGCCAGACTCACCCATCCATGCTGAGCAGTAGCGACAACAGTGGCAGCTGGGCAGAACCTGCTGCTCAGCTCAGGGGAAAAGCAGCCTCTCCCCCTCATTGCTGCCAGACCCTTCTTGCTGCAACCACCTGGAGCCTGTGCCTGGGCTGCCCTGTGGCTCCTCTGCACTGTCCCTTTGGGCAGCTTAGAGGTGGCAGTGACAGCAGTGGAGAGGAGCCACAAGGCAGCCTGGGCACAGGCTCTGGGCGACTGCAGCAAGAAGGGCCTGGCAATGATGAAGGGAGGGGCCACTTTTCCCACGTGACAAGCAGCAGCTTCTGCCCAGCCACTGCCACTGCTCAGCGTGGGCTGGTGGTCCAGAACAGGCACAGGGTGGGCTGTGGTCAGAGGTATATGTGCAGGTTCCAGCTGGTCCACTCCAGCCAAGGCGAGTCTGGAGGGGGCACAGGACAGACTGGGGTTGGGGCTGGGGCTTTACGCTATTGGCGGTGGCAGGGAGGAGCTGCAGGGTGCATGGGCTCCAGGCTGTTGTGGGGCAGGGGAGGGGGCTGCTGACCAACCCAGAGTATCTCCCCAGAACTACCTATGTTGCCCACAGGCCCAAATAATTTCTTGGCTGCCCCTGGTTTAAAGGAATAATGTAACCTGTAGGAGACCTGAATTCAGACTCCTGAAATGGAGGAAGGAATTAAAAGTATTTTATTTCAGTATTAGGTAAAATAGAGTATATGGAACCCAGTCTTAGCGGTTCTGTTAGAGTAGAAACTAATGTTGCCTGATGTTGTATTTGTTCAGCATGCATGGCCAGCAAATAAGCATCCACAGTACTGGCCATGACAAAAGGTAGTATGAAATAGTGCTACTTTATTGAAGCATATGACTATTTACTTTGTGGTAGGAAAAAGCCAGCAGCCCAGGCTGTCTGTGCTCTCTGACAACCTAGGAAAGGTGCTCTTGGGGCTTGAGGAACCCTATGCTGTGCACAGAGGGCATTCCTGCACAGGATCAGCTCTCTCAGGCCCAGGAGCACTTGCCTAACTTTTCCTTCCTAGAGACCTACCAAGGAATCCCATGGGACCTCTCTGTAGGTGGGGGAAGTTGGGGTTTCCCACTTGTGGAGGCCTGCCCTGAGATCTCCAAAGGCATGTCTGTAAGTGGGGAAAGCCTGCTTGGGACCCAACATTGAGGCATGAGACCTGAAGAATCCCTGGTACCCCTACTCTGAGACCCATGCTGGGTCCCACAGTGACCCATGCTTCTTACAGAGGCACAGGGTGGCACAGGTCCTGGCAAAGAGATGTGGAAATTTCTCTTTCCCACAAAAAGGTGTGGGAATTCCATCCCAGGGAACTCCTGGCACCCTATGACTCCTTGCCGGGCCCCACAGTGACTGATGCCTCCACATGAAGCACAGGTGTAGGTTCCAGCATGGAGGCCTGGTGAGGTACAAGTTCCTTAGGTCCCATACCACCACACTTCTCCTTGCCAGCATGTACACTGACCCATGCTTCATGCAGAGGCTTGGCAAAGGCCAGTTTGGGTCCTGGCAACTTGTGCTGACCCATGCCTCTGCTGGGTCCAGTGAGGATCCCAACAAAGAGATACAGGGCAATAAGGGACACAAGGAATCTCTGGGCAAAGAGGACATATCACCCATTGTCCTTTGTCCATTGTCCCAGTATAGAACAACAAGTGATGTGTTTCACCAAAAAAGCAAATTTGCTGTGGCACCCCGCCCAGCTGATCTGCTTCTGTGTTTTTACCCTCGATATTCTCAGAACATGCCTAATGAGGTGGGCCTCTCAGGAAAAAAAAAAGTGGAGGAATTTCTAGTGTGTGGATCCTGATGGGATTTAAAAGTGAGATAAGTACTGAGCTGCTCACAAATGTCAAGGCTGAAAGGTTTTGAGCCCCAGAACTTTAGGAGCTCATGGAATTTTAAAGTTGAAAACTTAAATATCTATGGGTTTCAGAGAACCCCAGTGTGTCTGCATATTGATACAGCATGCTCTGTGACTTGCGGAGCTCCCCATGGGTCCAGAAATTTGGCAGCAGAAGAGTATCAATTATTGTCACTGCTGTCCCGCTGCGAAATTTTCAGATCCTTGAGGACCCCTGTGGGGTTGAATGGCTTGGCTCTGCAGGCCAGATCTGGCTTGTGGGCCAGAGGTTGAGCACCCCTTCAGTAGACTCCAGCTTCCTGACTTTTCATATCACATTACCAATTGTGGTTGGGATAGAAATGAGCAAGGACTCAAGAAATACTTGCTTCCTTTAAGTGTAGCTCTTTGGATATATTGTCCATATTTATTCCACAGGCTTTGCTCCTTTCCCACTTCTGTATAGTGCTATAGCACCTATATTCCAGATTGGCAAATGAACAGCCCACCTGCCCTTTATGCCCTTAGCTGAGGGGAACAAGGACACTCAAGCCATGTCTGTGATGCAAACTTATTGTGTCAGGCAGTGCGGTCCCCAAACATATCTCACTTCTCTTTGTGGGCTTCCTCCTGAACTACAAGCAGCATAGCTATGTGTGCATGGTGATGTAAATAGGCTAATTAGCATGTGGGTGGGCTAACCAGCACTGACTTGCAGTTCAGGAGGCAGCTCACATAAAGTAGTGCATTGTGTTTCAGGACATCTTTATATAATGCAATAAATTTGTACTCCAGACAAGCCATCACAGGGCATATTTAATCCAGATAGTCAGGGGTGGTCAAGTATTCTCATCTTGCACACACAAGATGCATGTGTCCTAACAGCTGAATAGACACGGACAGCACATCTCAAAAAACCAAGTACTATGGGGTAAGTAATGTCTTATTTTTCTATGAGCTGCTTTGGCTGATTAAAAAAAAAAAAATAGGGACTACAAGCTTCAAAAGTACCCACTTCAGGACAGAGACCTGTACATTGATCCTTGTATACTAGCAGGTCTGGAAGAACTTGCCCATAAAGACATCCACAATTTAAATAGAATTATCTTTATTTTTACTTTTGTACCGGCACCTTGTAATTGAATATGCACACAGCTTTTATATTTGTACTGTAACTGCTGCCAGTGCCATCTTGTCCTGATACTCATTCCTCTTTCAGTAGCTCACTCTGCAAAATTCTTTTGTCTTTTTCTCTGCAATTCTACACTTTCCATTTTATTTACTTTACTAGCTAATTGCCTATCAAGAATGATGCATTTCAGGGAGTGTTTACATGCCCCCCGCCGCATACCCTTTCGTTCACCCTTCAGGGCCAGCCATGTAAAGACTCCCTCCACTGCCGCCGCCTCCTCCAGCATCCAGCATGGGGGCTCCCTCCCGCTGTCTGCTTCTGCCTGGCAGCAGGGCTTTCCCCTGCCTCCCTTCCCCTCCCTGCTCCCATCCCTTCCTCCCGCCTCCCCCTTCCCACCGTTAAACCCTCCTCTCCGCTTCCCTCCCTTCCTTGCTGCTTGGCCTCAACAGCCGCCACCTTGACCCCCCCCTCACCTCCCCCCACC